TAAGCTAACAACTACAGGTGGATGCTCAGATCTGGTTGGATTTGAAGAACATTTCCGTTCCTCTGAACGTATAAAGGATTTCTGACTCTGAGCTAAGACTTTTTTCCTTTTCCGGTCTGTGATCCTTGTTCCCAGTGCCACAGATTCCTGCGAAAGACCCCGATAAGGCGTCTCAGATAGAATTTCCATTACCGAAGACAGCTCAGGTAAAACAAAAAGGCCCAGTCCGAAATCATTTCTCTTGTTCGTTTACAGATTTTGTCACGTCTGGGGGAATGTCTGGTGTCTCGTCATGTCCTGATTACCTATTGTGTACACCTGGGGTTCCCCTCCCTCATGTGTTTAAATAGTCCTCGTTTCCCATGTCCTGTGCGAGTTCGTCTTTCGTGCTTCTTGTTGCGTCTTCTGCGTCTCTCGTCCCTCGTCTTTCGTCTCCCCACGTCAGATTTGATTTTTTGCCATAGCCATGTTTTTGCCTCAGTCTTGGTAATCTTTATTTTTTACTTTGTCATAGTCATAGTTTTGCCACAACCGTGTTTTTGTACCTTGTCTGGACTTCCACCTTTTGTTACATCTCCGCGCCTGAGTCCTCCCTCAAAACCTACCACCCTGACAGATTTACAGATCTGTACGGGTGACAGATTTACAGATTTACTGATGCGTCACAGAATCGTAGCATGGAAACGTTCCCTGGATTTCTTTTTCCGGGAGCGTTTTTGGGAATTTGGCGGCTTCCGGGTTGCAGTTGCAGCGAGGGGCCACATGGAGGCAACGCGCCCCGCCGGGGGGGCCCCTGCTCCGCCTGCTCTGCATCAAGGGCATTCCTCCCATCTCTGGGAGAGGATCCTGGACCCACAGGGGTGGGGGGGGGATGGGGGGGGGGGCAGTCAGGGAGCGGTGTGGAGTCAGCAAAAGCCGCCCCCTGTGCGGCACCGGCAGCAGCAGGACGGAGGCCCGGCGCTAACACTGAGTGACGCCTCCCCCCCTCGCACCCTCCCCCGCTCCTCCACATCCCTCCACACCTGAGGCCCCCCCTCCCCGTGTCCTCTCTCCCACCTCTGGGCGAAGTGCGGCGTGTAATGGCCCGTCCTCCCGGTCCCCCTTTCTCTCTTCCGTCCAGCGTGCGGGATTAAAACCGGAATTAAGAGATCCCCAGATTTCATTCTCCTCCCCCCTTATTCCCCATCTCTCCCTCCCCCCATTTGTCTTCCCTCTACTTCCCTATATTTGGCTGCTGCATCCCTCTCCCTCCGTCAGACCAAAAACCCACCATGACAGCTGAAAGGACCATCTACTCCCTGTTAGAACAGCAGTTTCTAGGAGGGAAAACTCAACTTTTGACAAACGGTGATGCTCTCAGGCTAACTGTTAAAGGCACATTGTGTTGTATTTTACGTATTTTATTAGCCAAAATCATTTTCTTCATTTATAAACGTTTCCTCGTTTGGTGTAAAATGATCTGACTTCTCCTCAAAAGGTAGAATTTCCTATCTGTACATACACAGGACGGGTAAGTCCTGATAATCAATGCATGGGGGGGGGGCTGTTGGATTTTGGTCCAGTCCAGAGGCTGTGGATGCCACAGAGAGAGAGAAACTGAGTAAGGAGTATGATGGCACCCTGACTAAAAACTAGGTAGACTGGGATTGGTGGATCTAAAATTAGGCCCCTTGGACAAGCTGCTTGACCTATTTATGTCTCGCCACCCACTGAAACGATCCGGCAGCGGAACAAAGACGCCGCGGAGGCTGTTTCTTCTTCTTCTTCTTCTTCTTCTTCTTAATAGAGGATGAGCACCAGGACCATCCCCACGCACACGTACAGCAGCGGCACCCTGGGCTTTAGGACTGTAAGACCCCATTTTGGAGACCCAAGTTTGCTGACTAAAGTGGGAAGTGGGATTTCTTTCTGGGCACTACTGGTTCCTGGTCACTTCCCATGGGAGTGGACTGTCCAGGGTGCTATTGTTAGGGTTTATTAGTTCAT